ACACTCTCATGAATCTGCACACCCATGAACCTGCACGCCCATGAACCTGCACACCCATGAACCTTCACACTCATGAACCTACACTCCCATGAATCTGCACACTTATGAACCTGTACACCCATGAACTTGCACACCCATTAACCTGCACAACATGAACCTGCAGACCCATGAACCTGCACTACCATGAACCTGCACACCCATGAAATTGCACACCCATGAACCTGCACACCAATGAACCTGCACACCTATGACCTGCGCGCCCATGAACATGCACATCCACGAACCTACACTCCCATGAATCTGCACACTCATGAATCTGCACACTCATGAACCTGAACACCCATGAATCTGTAGACCCATGAACCTGCACACCCATGAACCTACACATACATGAACCTACATTCCCATGAATCTGCACACCCATGAAACTGCACAACCATTGACTTGCACACCCATGAACCTGCACCCCCATGAAGCTGCACACCCATGAACCTGCACACACATGAGCCTACTCATCCAGGAACCTACACTCCCATGAATCTGCACACTTATGAACCTGCAAGCTCATGAACCTCCACACCTATGTACCTTTCCATTCATGAACCTGTACACCTATGAACCTGCACACTCATGAACTTGCACACCCATGAACCCGAACTCCCATGAATCTGCACACTCATACTTGCACATCTATGAAGCTACACTTCCATGAGCCAGCACACCCATGAACCTGCACACCCATGAACCTTCACTCCCATGAACCTACACATCCATGAACTTACACACCCATGAACCTACACTCCCCTGAATCTGCACAGTCATGAACCTGCACACCCATGAACCTGCACACTCTTGAACCTGCACACCCATGATCCTACACACCCATGAACCTACACACCCATGAACCTGCACACCCTTGAACCTGCACACCCATGAACCTACACACCCATGAACCTGCACATTTATGAACCTACACACCCATGAACCTGCACATTCATGAATCTGCGCACCTATTAACCTGCACTCCAATGGACCTACACACCCATGAACCTGCCCACTCATGAACCTGCACACCCCTGAACCTACACTCCCATGAATCTGCCCACTCATGAACCTGCACGCCCATGAACCTGCACACCCATGAACCTGCACACCCATGAACCTGCACACACATTAACCTACATTCCCATGAATCTGCACACTCATGAACCTGCACACCCATGAACCTACACACCCATGAACCTGCACACCCGTGAACCTACACACCAATGAACCTACTCTCCTATGTATCTGCACACCCATGAACCTGCACACCCATGAACCTACACTCCCATGAATCTGCACACTCCTGAACCTGCACATTCATAAACCTGCACACCCATGAACCTGCACACCCATGAACCTGCACACACAATAACCTACATTCCCATGAATCTGCGCACTCATGAACCTGCATACCCATGAAACTGCACACCCATGAACCTTCACACCCATGAACCTACTCTCCTATGTATCTGCACACCCATGACCCTGCACACCCGTGAACCTACACTCCCATGAATCTGCACACTCCTGAACCTGCACATTCATAAACCTGCATACCCATGAACCTGCACACCCATGATCCCACACACCCATCAACCTACACTCCGCTGAATCTGCACACTCATGAACCTGCACATTCATGAACCTGCACATCCATGAACCTGCACACACATGAACCTGCACACCCATGAACCTGCACATTCATGAACCTGCACACTCATGAACCTGCACACACATGAACTTGCACACCCATGAATCTGCACACCCATGAACCTACACTCCCATGAATCTGCACACTCCTGAACCTGCACATTCATAAACCTGCATACCCATGAACCTGCACACCCATGATCCCACACACCCATCAACCTACACTCCGCTGAATCTGCACACTCATGAACCTGCACACCCATGAACCTGCACACCTGTGAACATACACACGCATGAACCTGCACACCCATGAACCTGCACATTCATGAACCAGCACATCCATGAACCTGCACATTCATGAACCTGCACATCCATGAACCTGCACACCCATGAACCTGCACACCCATGAACTTGCACACCCATGAACCTACACATACATGAACCTACACTCCCATGAATGTGCACACCCATGAAGCTGCACACCTATGAACCTGCACACACATGAACCTGCACACACATGAACCTGCACACCCATGAACTTGCACACCCATGAGCCTACACATCCACGAACCTACACTCCCATGAATCTGCACTTATGAACCTGCACGCTCATGAACCTCCACACCTAAGTACCTTCCCATCCATGAACCTATACTCCTATGAACCTGCACACTCATGAACTTGCACACCCATGAATCTGCACACCCATGAACCTGCACACCCATGAACCTACACACCCATGAACCTACACTCCCATGAATCTGCACACCCATGAACCTGCACACCCATGAACCTACACACCCATGAACCTACACTCCCCTGAATCTGCACACTCATGAACCTGCACGCTCTTGAACTTGCGTACCCATGATCCTACACATCCATGAACCTACACACCCATGAAACTGCACACCCATTAATCTGCACACCCATGAATCTGCACGCTCATGAACCTACTCACCCATGAGCCTGCACACCCATGAACTTACACACCCATGAACCTGCACACCTTTGAACCTGCAGACCCATGAACCTACACACCCATGAACCTACACACCCATGAACCTGCACATTCATGAATCTGCGCACCTATTAACCTGCACTCCAATGGACCTACACTCCCTTGAATATGCCCAGTCATGAACCTGCACACCCCTGAACCTACACTCCAATGAATCTGCACACTCATGAACCTGCACACCCATGAACCTGCACACCCATGAACCTGCACACCCATGAACGTGCACACCCGTGAACCTACACATCCATGAGCCTACTCTCCTATGTATCTGTACACCCATGAACCTGCACACCCATGAACCTACACTCCCATGAATCTGCACACTCCTGAACCTGCACATTCATAAACCTGCATACCCATGACCTTGCACACCCATGAACCTACGCTCCCATGAATCTGCACACTCCTGAACCTGCACATTCATAAACCTGCATACCAATGACCCTGCACACCCATGAACCTACACTCCAATGAATCTGCACACTCATGAACCTGCACACCCATGAACCTGCACACCCATGAACCTGCACACCCATGAACCTACACTCCCATGAATCTGCACACTCCTGAACCTGCACATTCATAAACCTGCATACCCATGACCTTGCACACCCATGAACCTACACTCCAATGAATCTGCACACTCATGAACCTGCACACCCATGAACCTGCACACCCATGAACCTGCACACCCATGAACGTGCACACCCGTGAACCTACACACCCATGAGCCTACTCTCCTATGTATCTGCACACCCATGAACCTGCACACCCATGAACCTACACTCCCATGAATCTGCACACTCCTGAACCTGTACATTCATAAACCTGCATACCCATGAACCTGCACACCCATGAACCTACACTCCCATGAATCTGCACACTCCTGAACCTGTACATTCATAAACCTGCATACCCATGACCTTGCACACCCATGAACCTACACTCCCATGAATCTGCACACTCCTGAACCTGTACATTCATAAACCTGCATACCCATGACCTTGCACACCCATGAACCTACACTCCCATGAATCTGCACACTCCTTAACCTGCACACCCATGAACCTGCACACCCGTGAACCTGCACATCCACGAACTTACACTCCCATGTAATTGCACACCCATGAACCTGCACAACCATGAACCTGCACACCCATGAATCTGCACACCCATAACCCTACACTCACATGAATCTGCACACTCATGAACCTTCACACTCATAAACTTTACACCCATGAACCTGCAAAGCCATGAGCCTGCACATTCATGAACCTACACACCCTTGAACCTTCATTCCCATAAATCTTCACACTCATGAACCTATACACCCGTGAACCTGCACACCCATGAACTTACACACCCATGATCCTACACACCCATGAATCTGCACACTCATGAACCTACACTCCCATGAATCTGCACACTCCTGAACCTGCACATTCATAAACCTGCATACCCATGACCTTGCACACCCATGAACCTACTCTCACATGAATCTGCACACTCATAAACCTGCACACCCATGAACCTACACACCCATGAACCTACACACCCATGAATCTGCACACTCATGAACCTTCAAGACCATGAACCTGTACATCCATGAACCTACACACCCATGAACCTACATACCCATGAACCTGCACATTCATGAACCTACACACCCATGAACCTGCTCATTCATGAACCTGCACACCCATGAACCTCTACACCCATAAACCTACACTCCCATGAACCTTCATTCCATGAATCTTCACACTCATGAAGCTATACGCCCATGAACCTGAACACGTGTGAACCTGCACATCCATGAACCTACACACCCATGAAATTGCACGCCCATGAATCGGCACACCCGTGAACCTGCACACACATGAACCTTCACACCCATGAAACTACACACCCATGAACCTGCATACCAATGAATCTTCACACCCGTGATCCTACATTCCCATGAACCTACACTCCTATGAACCCGGGCACCCATGAATCTGCACACCCATTTACCTGCACACTCATAAACCTACGCACCCATGAACCTTCACACCCATGAACCTGCACACCCATGAACCTACACACCCATAAACCTGCACACCCATGAACCTACACACCCATGAGCCTGCACACCCATGAACCTACACACCCATGAGCCTGCACACCCATGAACCTACACACCCATGAGCCTGCACACCCATGAACCTAGACACTCATGAACCTGCACACCCATGACTCTGCCCATCCATGAACTAGAACAGTATAAAACATACTGCATCTCCCACAGGGACGGAGTAGTGGTGACCACGTCCCAGGAAGACCCCCGCTCCCACAGGGTGGTCTTTCCCTCGGGGTCGCTCTTCTTCCTCTCCATCAAACAAGGCAAGAAAGAGAGTGACGCCGGCGTCTACTACTGCGTCGCCACCAACGCTGTCGGCAGAGCTGCGTCTACTAACGCCACCCTTACTATTGCTAGTGAGTATCATCTTGGTCTAATTTGATGGTAGTTAATAGAACCGAGTCTTCTTTGAGTGTAGTTAGTACACCGAGGTCTTCTTTGATGATAAGAGACCCATACCTTCTTGGACGGTAGTTAGCTTTACTCAGAGCGCAACGTCGTCCCAAGACAAGCTTAAGCTTGTCTTGCAGCTTGTATCTTGGTCTTCAAAACTCACCCTAGCTCTGGTATGTAACCTTGGCACTCCCTGGCACTGAGAGTAACTTGGCACTCCTTGGTACTGAGAGTAACTTGGCACTCCCTGGTACTGAGAGTAACTTGGCACTTCAGTAGTTGACAGTGTCAACAAGCAGTGATGTATCAACAAGCCGTTGATCATTGATCATTATGCCCTCACTTCTATAATTTTTGCTCCCACACTATAATTTATGCCCCAAACTACCACAATTTATTTCCCACAACTATAATTTATGCCCGCACACAACAATTTATGCCCCACACTACTATAATTTATTCCCTAACACTATAATTTATGCCCACCACACAATTATAATTTATGCCCCATACCACTATAATTTATGCCCCCACACAACTATAATTTATGCCCCACACCACTATAATTTATGCCAAGCACCTCAGTAATTTATGCCACACACAACTATAATTTATGCCCCACACCACTATAATTTATGCCAAACACAACAGTAATTTATGCCACACACCACTATAATTTATGCCCCACACCACTATAATTTATCCCCCACACCTCCATAATTTATGCCCCCACACCTCTATAATTTATCCCTCACACCTCTATAATTTATGCCCCACACCACTATAATTTATCCCCCAAACCTCTATAATTTACGCCCCACACCACTATAATTTATCCCCCGCACCTCTATAATTTATGCCCCACACCTCTATAATTTTGCCACACACCACTATAATTTATGCCCCACACCACTATAATTTATGCCAAACACCACAGTAATTTATGCCACACTCCACTATAATTTTTTGCCCCCACACAACTATAATTTATCCCCCACACCTCTATAATATATGCCTTACACCACTATAATTTATCCCCCTCACCTCTATAATTTATGCCCCACACCACTATAATTTATCCCCCACAACACTATAATTTATGACCCAAACCACTATAATTTATCCCCACACCACTATAATTTATGCCCCACACCACTATAATTTATGCCCCCACACAACAATAATTTATGCCCCCCACACCACAATAATTTATGCCCCCACACCACTATAATTTATGCCCCCACACCACTATAATGTATGCCCCCCAAAACTATAATTTATACCTCCTCACTACTATAATTTATGCCCAAGACCACTAGAATTTGTGCCCCACACAGCTATAATTTATGCCCCACACCACTATAATTTATGCCCCTCACCACTATAATTTATGCCCCACACCACTATAATCTATGCCCCACACCACTATAATTTATGCCCCACACCACTATAATTTATGCCCCCCGCACCACTATAATTTATGCCCCCACACAACAATAATTTATGCCCCCCACTCCACAATAATTTATGCCCCCCACACCACTATAATTTATCCCCCCCACACCACTATAATTTATGCCCCCACACCACTATAATTTATGCCCCCACACAACAATAATTTATGCCCCAAACCACTATAATTTATGTCCCCACACCACTATGATTTATGCCCTCGACACCACTATAATTTATGCTCCCACACCACTATAATTTATGCCCCCACACCACTATAATTTATGCCCCCCACACCACTATAACTTATGCCCCCTACACCACTATAATTTATGCCCCCACACCACTATAATTTATGCCCCTTACACCACTATTATTTATACCCCCACACCACTATAATTTATGCCCCCCACACCACTATAACTTATGCCCCCTACACCACTATAATTTATGCCCCCCACACCACTATAATTTATGCCCCTTACACCACTATTATTTATACCCCCACACCACTATAATTTATGCCCCCACACCACTATAATTTATGCCCCCACACCACTGTAATTTATGCCCCCACACCACTATAATTTATGCCCCCACACCACTATAATTTATGCCCCCACACCACTATAATTTATGCCCCCACACCACTATGATTTATGCCCCCACCACTATAATTTATGCCCCCACACCACTATAATTTATGCCCCCCACACCACTATGATTTATGCCCCACCACTATAATTTATGCCCCCACACCACTATAATTTATGCCCCCCACACCACTATAATTTATGCCCCCCACACCACTATGATTTATGCCCCCACCACTATAATTTATGCCCCCACACCACTATAATTTATGCCCCCACACCACTATAATTTATGCCCCCCACACCACTATGATTTATACCCCCACACCACTATAATTTATGCCCCCACACCACTATAATTTATGCCCCCACACCACTGTAATTTATGCCCCACACCACTATAATTTATGCCCCCACACCACTATAATTTATGCCCCACACCACTATAATTTATGACCCCACACCACTATAATTTATGCCCCCCACACCACTATAATTTATGCCCACACACCACTATAATTTATGCCCCACACCACTATAATTTATCCCCCACACCACTATAATTTATGCCCCCCACACCACTATAATTTATGCCCCCACACCACTATAATTTATGCCCCCACACCACTATAATTTATGCCCCCCACACCACTATAATTTATGCCCCCACACCACTATAATTTATGCCCCCCAAACCACTATAATTTATGCCCCCAGCACTATAATTTATGCCCCACACCTCTATAATTTAATGCCTCACACCACTATAATTTATCCTCCACACCACTATAATTTATGCCCCCACACCACTATAATTTATGCCCACACCACTATAATTTATGCCCCACACCACTATAATCTATGCCCCACACCTCTATAATTTATGCCCCACACCACTATAATTTGTGCCCCCACACCACTATAATTTATGCTCCCCACGCCACTATAATTTATGCCCCCCACACCACTATAATTTATGCCCCCCACACCACTATAATTTATGCCCCCACACCACTGTAATTTATGCCCCCACCACTATAATTTATGGCCCCACACCACTATAATTTATGCCCCCCACACCACTGTAATTTATGCCCCCACACCACTATAATTTATGCCCCCACACCACTATAATTTATGCCCCACACCACTATAATTTATGCCCCCACACCACTATAATTTATGCCCCCAACCACTATAATTATTGCCCCACACCACTATAATTTATGCCCCCACACCACTATAATTTATGCCCCCACACCACTATAATTTATGCCCCCCACACCACTATAATTTATGCTCCCCATACCACTATAATTTATGCTCCCCACACCACTATAATTTATGCCCCCCACACCACTTAATTTATGCCCCCCACACCACTATAATTTATGCCCCCACACCACTATAATTTATGTCCCCCACACCACTATAATTTATGCCCCACACCACTATAATTTATGCCCCCCACACCACTATAATTTATGCCCCCACACCACTATAATTTATGCCCCCACACCACTATAATTTATGCCCCCCACACCACTATAATTTATGCCCCCACACCACTATAATTTATGCCCCCACACCACTGTAATTTATGTCCCCCACACCACTATAATTTATGCCCCCACACCACTGTAATTTATGCCCCCACACCACTATAATTTATGCTCCCCACACCACTATAATTTATGCCCCCCACACCACTGTAATTTATGCCCCCACACCACTATAATTTATGCCCCCCACACTACTATAATTTATGCCCCCACACCACTATAATTTATGCCCCCACACCACTATAATTTATGCCCCCACACCACTATAATTTATGCCCCCACACCACTGTAATTTATGCCCCCACACCACTATAATTTATGCTCCCCACACCACTATAATTTATGCCCCCACACCACTGTAATTTATGCCCCCACACCACTATAATTTATGCCCCCACACCACTATAATTTATGCCCCCCACACCACTATAATTTATGCCCCCACACCACTATAATTTATGTCCCCCACACCACTATAATTTATGCCCCCACACCACTATAATTTATGCCCCCACACCACTATAATTTATGCCCCCCACACCACTATAATTTATGCCCCACACCACTATAATTTATGTCCCCCACACCACTATAATTTATGCCCCCACACCACTATAATTTATGCCCCCACACCACTATAATTTATGCCCCCACACCACTATAATTTATGTCCCCCACACCACTATAATTTATGCCCCCACACCACTATAATTTATGCCCCCACACCACTATAATTTATGCCCCCACACCACTATAATTTATGCCCCCACACCACTATAATTTTTGCCCCCACACCACTATAATTTATGCCCCCACACCACTATAATTTATGCCCTGCCAACAACTTTATAATTAAACAACTTTGAACTTCAACAATTAAAAGTTCGAGAAGAGGAAAGAAAACTCAACAAAAGTGTGACAATTACTCGACTTTACTCATTCATTTGTTGCTTTTATTTCCTCTTGATTCTTTATTTCATTATTCCTTTATTTACTGCGTTATTTTTTTCAGTGTGTTTGTCTTAGCTTCTGTTTTACTGTGTTTGTTGTTATTTCTGTTTTATTGTGTTTGTTTTTGTTTATGTTTTATTGTGTTTTGCTGTTGTTTAGGTTTAACTGTGTTTGTTATTGTTTCTGTTGTATTATTTTTTCTGTTATATTGTATTTTTTTCTCTTTTACTGCGTTTGTTACTTCATGTGTTTTACTGTTTTTGTCACTGCTTCTGTTTTACTGTTTGTCATCGTTTCTGTTTATCCTTATGGGTAGTTTACGTCAGTATACCTAAAACAAATATACCTTAGTATATTAATTTTTTTTACCCAGGTTAAACCATCAGTGTTGCTTCAGTATACCAC